TGCGGAGACGCCGCTGCCGCCGCCACCGCCGCCGCCGGACGTGACGTCAGGACGCGCCGGCCGGGTTGAGACGCCTCGGAAGAGCAGGCCTTTACCTCCGGCTTCTGGAGGCGGTACCAAGTAGAGAATACCCAATGAGATGCTTGGGGAGGCGGGACCAGCCCCTTTCCACCGTAGCTGGGCCCGCCTCCCGGAGTTGCCTAGCAACGCCAAGCAGGACATTGGCTGTTCGCCCAGCTCTGGCAGAATCCTAAGGTTCCGGTTGCATTTCTCCCGTCGCGGCGCCTTCAGGTTTGAAGCGGCAGCGCCCCACCCTCACCCTAGAGAGGAAGCCCAGCAAAGCAGCACATTTCACCTGTTTATTGGAGCCCGGACTGAGCTCTCCCTTGGACTTACACTTCCCCAGCCAAGGCTAAGGAGCCCAAAGGCCTCCCCGACACCCCAGGTCCTGAGCGCCGCACTCCACCTTCGACCCTCAGAGCAGTGGACACTTTCAGTCCGCTCCGCCCTAGCTTGGTCCTGCCTGACCCAGGGGTCAGGTGGAGCCACAGCGCCTGGTGTAGTCCTGGATGGAGGCCTGGAAGTGCTCCGTGCTGTTGAGTTCTGGGCGGCACAGGATCACATAGCACTTGGGGAGGAAGTAACCGCTGAAGTCGCCACTCAGGCTGCTCAGCGCGGCCAGCACGTTGACTGCAGGTAGATACTGGCCCTGGTAGACACTGGCCACTGTGAAGAAGGCAATCCAGGACACAAAGTTGAGGAGCAGGCTGAAGGTGACACATTTTGCCTCGTTGTAGTTCTCTGGCAGGTCCTTGCCCAGGTAGCTGCAGGCAAAGGCGCTGACAGAGAGGAGGCCATTGTAGGCAAAAGCCAGCATGAAGCCCAGTGAGTTAGCCTCTGTGCAATCTAGCACCACCAGCTGAGGGAAGCGCTGGTATTCCCTGGTGGGCAGTGGGGTCCACACTGCAAACCAAATTAGACAGATAAGCAGCTGGACTGTCGAGCTGATCACCACAAACAGGCCAGCACCATGGTTTTGGACCCACGCACGGAAGAAGGTGGGTACCTTGGCAGAAAACTTGAAGATGAAGACAAGTTGGAAGGAGCGGATTGTCAGGCAGGACAAGAAGATGGCAAAACTGAGGGCAAAGAGGCCTTGGCGCAGCAAGCATGTGGGCCGCGTGGGTTCCCCAAAGAAGCCATAGAGGCCCAAGCTGCCCCCTGCCAGGGAGCCCAGCATGAGGAAGCACAGTCGGCCCCCAGCTGACTTCACCACGGGGGTGTCAAGGTGCCAAGCAAACAGGCCAGCAGTCCCAGCCACCACCACCAGCAGCAGCGTATTAGCTGCCAACAGGACCAAAGAGATGGGTTCATGCCAAGTCAAAAACACCACAGTGCGTGGGAAGCAGGTCTGGCTTCCCTCGGGTGCCCACTCTTCTTTCCCGCAAGGCTGGCAGCGGTAGAAGTCTGGAAGGAAAGGCAGAGAGGTTCCTGAGAGCCAGGTGAGCACAGCAGGAATGGGGAAGGGAGGCTGTGCAAGCCTGCCAGGTGCTGTGAGGGCTGTACCACAGGAGCTGGGCTCTGCCAGGCACAGCAAGAAGGGGGCAGCCCTGAATGGGGGCCCCGAGGCCAAGGGCTTCCTCAAAATGCCTGTGTTAAGACAGTTTATGGAGACACTTGTGTAGGTTCTGTTTGACTCATGGTCCCAGAAGGGGTTTGCAAACCAAGAGGTCCTGGAGAGGGCCTTACCCTGTAGCTCTGCCCACAAACCAGTGAGGCAATGATCCTATGGAAGTAGCCAACCCAAAGGGAAGGGCATTTTCATCTCTCCCTGGTGCTCCCACTAACCACATCCCCCTTCCTGAGCTGCCATGCTGTGGTTTCTCTGAGTTGACTCTATGCCCAAAGAGACAGTGAAAGGGAAGCATGTGGCCCCTGGAGTCCAGCTCTGGGCTGAACCCTTAGCCACCTCAATTTGGTCTCTGATCTGACCTTGCATCACTTTTTTCTCTTCTTTTTAAAATTTTTTTGCAGAGAGGTAATTAGATTTATTTATTAATTTTTTAAAAGGAGGGACTGGGGATTGAACCCAAGGCCTCGTGCATACCAGGCATGTGCTCTACGACTGAGCTACACCCTCCCACCCTGCATCACTTTTTTTTCTGTTGCAGACATGCTACTATCTGCCTTTAGGCCAAGCTCTTCAAGGTGCTGCTTGTCTTTGGCATGGACGCTAGAAGGGACTTCATACAGACAGCAGGAGAGGGCACAAAGGGAACAATAGCTACATCTGTTTGGATTAAGAGGTTGAAATAGGAAAAAATTGCCTCTGTAGGCATTGCGTTGAGAGCTTGCTAATAAAGGACACAGCTAGGACTGAGGCCATCAATTGGTCGTTTCTGCTTGATGGGACTTCAGTCTGGTGGAAGGTGTCCTCCAACCTGTCCCTAACTGGCAGCAAAGTGACCAGGGCCCTGGTTCTGCACATGTGTGGCCTGAGAGAGGTCCTTTCTTCTATTCTGCAGACCCTTGGAGTCCTGGGAGGTTCGCCCACTGACCATTTGGTCACTCACCACTCTTGTTGAGGAAGGTCCCGGCCTCACAGGGCACACACTCAAAGCAACAGTGGTGGAAACCCCAAACCACTCTCTGGTGCCCTTCAAGACAGTCGCTGGAACACACAGACTTAGGCACCTGCAAGAAGCCACAGGTGTTATGCAAGCATGTGGAGGGGGCCAGGTCAAGGACACTGGAAAACTGGATCTCTGTGTATCCGCCCTCACGGCTCACTCCCAGGGCAGAGCCTCTGGTTGTGTGAACCAGCAGCAACTGGACATCTGTCTGTGAGCCTAGGGGGCTTCCCTGGCAGGGCTGGGTAGAGGCAGAGCAGCCTTGGAACCTGGGCTCCCCTCTCCTGCTCTGTGTCAGAATGTCCCCAGGCTTAAGGCTGCCCATCAGGCGGTCACCTGGTGAGTGACCACGTCCCCATTACCTGGTTGTCCTTTCCATGCCACTGGATTTTAGTTGTATTTATGTCTAGCCGAGCTGGGGATGATGTGGAGGAGCCAATGACCCTGAAGGTCCATTCGGGGCCATTCCATTCCCAGGCAATTATGTCATAGCCACCGAGGGAGTCCCTGTTGTCTTTAAATGTCACAGTGTGCTTGTGTAGGAGGAAATTCACCTTGCGGATCTGCTCCAGAAGCTGAGACAAACAGGGAGGACAGAGCAGCTGTAGATGACACACGGGCTGCTCCCCCTGGACACTCCCAGCCCCAGACAGCCCAGGAAGCGGGTGTGTGGGGCCTTGCTGGGCTTCTCTCTGCCTGGTTTCAGCCTTTCTGGAAGTTCTGGTCCCTTCCTAAGGCCCCCTCCCCTCCTAGGAGGCCCCTTGACCCTCCCGACCAGCCTCTTAAGAGAGAGCAAGCCTCTAACAAAGGAGCCCTTGACAGCAACTTTCAGCCCTGGATCTGAGGCATGGTGGGTGGGAGGGGCCACGATTCAGAAAAGCGAGGACTAAGAGGAGCCTCAGAGAAGGAATCAGCTGTCTAGTTGGGGGCCTTTGCCCCCCAATCCCAGGCACTTCGAGTCACCAAAGAGTGGCCATTCTGCTTGCTTCAGGAAGACTCCCTGATACGGAGTGCCAGCGGCAGGACTGCCTTACCTGCCAGGGGTGGACTCGGCCCCCAGCACAGGTGCCAGAGCTGCAGCCCAGGAGCTGATGGAGGCCGTGGGCCACGGCGTAGACGGCCTGGTACGCGTTGTAGGCAGAGCTCATGGAGAACTTTCCGAGTCTGGGCATCTCTGTGAGAGCCCAACACTCTCTACAGACCTGGTTGCTGCTGCACCAGGAGCCCCTGGGGCAGGGCCCGAGGGTTCCTTTGTCTGCCCGGACATAAGCCTCTTCAAACTCCTTCAGGCCAGGGACAAGCCTCTGCGGGATGGACACGCCCAGCACCGAGCCGATGCCCTGGATACCGGGCACACTGCTGATGTGTCTGGAGATGGACCAGTCTTCCGAGGCGATCCACACCTTGGCAGTCAGGTTGGCCAGCACCACAGACTCGAAGAACACCCTGGCCAGCTGCCTGCCTGAGAAAACCACCACGACCGTGGTCCCCGCTTGAGCCAGGCGGCGCATCATGCTCTGCATCCTCTCGTCGCCCGGCTGGGCAGAGAATGGCACAATGTCCTTGAAGGCAATGCAGATGCCCTGCTGGGTGGCCCGGCCCTCCAGCGCCTGCACCCCGAGCTGCCCATAATCGCCCTCACTGCCCACCATGGAGATCCAGACCCAGCCGAACCTCTGCAGCAGCAGCACCAAGATCTCCACTTGGAGCTCATCACTGGGGATGGTGCGCAGGAAGGAGGGGTACCGCCGCTTCATGCTGAGTATCACGCTGCTGGCATCGTAGCTGACCTGTGGGGGTTCAGTTCAGCAACTTCAGTGGCATCAGCCTCGACTCAGGGCTGGCCTTGAGCTGGGTGCGGTGACACGAATGACTGGACACAAGGTCCCGGCCCGGGTTCTCACTACTCGACAGTCCCGGCCTGGGTTTTCACTACTCGACATGGGAGGCTAACAAGTTAATATGGGGAAGGGGGTAGGTCTCAAGGCAGACTTCTTGGAGTGGGATGGGAATCTGTCCCCGGGACAAAGGGAACTAAACCTGCATGCAGGGGCTGAGATGGTATGTGTGTGGGGTCTTTCAGGGACTTGCAGGTCGGTTCCAGGAAGAAGAAGAGCATGAGCACATGTGTCTGGTCTGGGCAGGAAGCCTTAACTCTCAGGCTACAGGGCTGGGGTTTTATCCGAAGGCCTTAGGGAGCCCCTAAGGGTTTAGGCAGAGAAATGGCATCAGACTTGTGTTTTAGGAGTGTATCTCTGATTTCAGTGAGGAACGTATTTAAGAAGGCTCAAGGCCAGAGTCAAGGACCTCCCAGAGACCTCCTGAGAGCTGATGGAATCATCTGGAAGAGAGAGGATGGTGTGAGTGAAATCTGCCGAGGCCATGGCCGTAGAGTACGGGGGTGGAGTCGGCAATGGTTACAAGGGCCCCTTGGCAGAGGGCATGGAGACGGGCTAGACCGCAGGGGTAGGGAAGGGTGTGTAGGTAGTGCTGCAGGGTTTCTGGCTGCCTTAGGGATGGTCAGTCTGCCAGATGGGCTGGGGTAGGGATGCAGGGAGAAAAGAGGCTTTTGTTGCATAGGGAGGTAAGTTCAGTTTGGGGCCTGCTTGGTCCTTGAACTGGGGGCGCAGGGTGAGCATCTGGAAATGAGTCTGGTGCTCAGAAGTCAGAAGGAAGGTAGAGAAGGGAAGGGGAAGTTCAGCAGGGGGTCTTGGCCAGCCTGGGAAGGGGAGGGGTCTGCTCTAGGGAATCAGTGCCTTCTGGGGAAGGGGTACACAGGGGTGGGGGCAGAATTCTCTAAAGGAAACCAGAAACAAGTGAAAGAGGAGATCATAAATGCAGAGGGAAAACTGTCAAAATGCTACAATGGATTGGAGACCTAGGGTTAGACCCCCCTAGACCTAGACCACTGGGGCAGGTACTGAGGAGCGGTAACCACCTAGACCTACAGGCCCTCTGCCAGCCCTCCTCAGCAAGACCTTGCCGGTTCTGCCTCTGAGATTGCCACTTGAACCACATCCAATCCCTGCCCAACCTGCAGTCGCCACCCTCAAGCATTGGCCAGAAGGGCAGAACCCAGGGCAGTGGGTGGAGGAGCAGGTAAAAAGAGGGAGAAGCAAGCCGGATGGAGTCTGGCTGGAAAGAGGGCAGAGGGAGTCCGGGCTGAGAGGAGAGGTGCCTGGAGGATGGAGGGGGATGAGGCAAGCAGGTGGGCTGAGGAGGAAGCCCAGGGAGAGGTGGACGAGCAGAGGAAGGGGTGAGAACCAGAGGGACAGGACTGGCCCGCACAGGGAGGGGCACCACACCTCTGAGCCTGGAGGGAGGGGAGGAGAGAGGTGGGAGGAGAGCAGGGAGATGTGAAGTTTGCGGGGTGGGAGATGTGAAGTTCGTGGGGTGGGAAATGAAGGGTGTTCAGTTCTGCACAAAGGTGATGGGACAGTGGGAGGAGTGAGAGGGGCAGAAGTTTCCAGGGAGAATGGATTTGCCAGGGAGCATTGAAGCAGGGAGATCTGGAGCAGCACTTGGAGAGGAAGGAGCACTGGGGCAGGTACCTAAGGAGCGGTGACCACCCAGGAGATCCAGGGGTCCAGACTGGCCTCGGGCACAGCAACTCTGTCCACCCACCCCAGCCTACCCTGGACTTGCCTGGACGGGCAATGAGCGAACTGCCGGGGCCCCAGCTCACCAGGGGCACCAGGAAGGGACTCAGCAGGGCTGCCGTGGTGGTGACATGGGTGGTGGTGTCAGGCCCAATCACCGCCAGGGTCATGGGGGAAGATTGGGCGGGGTTTCCTGGGATCTCCACGCGGTGTGTCCCCAGCGTGCTCAGGATGCTCAGCGTGGCATACACGTTGGCTGACTCCGAGCACACGTCATACAGCTGGTACCCCAGGGTGACATTGGGCAGCAGGGTGGTGGAGTTGTTTATCTCCTCAATGCCGAACCGCACGGCCTGGAAGAGGTGGTAGCCGTGGCCGTTGAAGTTGTTGGACCTAGAGGGAAAGCCAAGCCGAGAGCTGAGAAGGGCAAGGCCCCACCGAGACCCAGGCCTCCTAGAACCCCAGGACGGGGTGGGGAGGGGTGGAGAGAAAGGAAACTCTGGGTCATCTGTCCAGTCCCCAGAACCATGACCTCAACATGGGCTCTGTAGTGCATACACAGTTCTGGTAACAGGCGTTTGAAGAAGTGGGGGACAAGCTGGAGAAATACACATGACATATCCTCCCAACACACACAAGCGTGTTAGCACTGAAAGTCTCACAAGTCCTGTAGGAGAGAAACCTGTCGTATTAGGGTTCTCCAGAGAAACAGAGCCAAGATGAGGTACATAAATATACGTACACAGAGAGACAGCGAAAAGAGTTTTTATTTAAGGAACTGGCTCGTGTGATAGTGGGGGCTGGCAAGTCTGAGAATTGCAGGGCAGGCTGGAAATTCCCACAAGAGTTTATGTTGCAGTCTTGAGGCTGAAGGTAGAAATCCTTCCTCAATCTTGTCTCTTAAGGTGTTCAACTGATGGGATGTGGCCCACCTATATCCTGGAGGACCATTTGCTCTACTTAGTCTATTGATCTAAATGTTAACCATGTCTAAAAATGCCTTCACAGCAACATCTAGACTGGTTTTAAGCCAACAACTGGACACCATACCCTAGCCGAGCTGACAGATGAAATTAACCACGGCACCTGCTTTACCTCGTTTGACCAGAACTTTTCATTGGGACTCCCGTGACTGTGGTGAGGGCCTGTGTTCCTGATGGCCTCTCTGGGAAACACTGACAGGTGTGCTCTGGAGACATGATTTAGCCCTGCCTGAAGAGTGTGCTAGCCTGCTGTGCTATTGTTCCTGTCATACTGTCCTTGAGTCCTGCCCATCACAGCCCTTCAGTTATCTGAAGCCAATTTTCATCTGTCACCTCCTCCCTCAAGTCTCCCCTCTTCCTAGGCTCCCATCTGTGGCCCTTTGGGCCAGTCTTCCTGCACCAGGCTTTCCAGAACCTTCCTCCTGGGCTGGCTGTCAGGTGTGCATCCTGTTCAGGGCCTCCTGTGTTGAGCCCTGATAACATACTCAAGCCGCCCAGATCTATGACTTGCACAGACGGCAAGCAACTCTCTTCTTTACAAGAAAAGCAGTTGTTTTTTCCTACCTAGACCGTCGAGTTCATGAAGGCACCAACCTAATTTATCTTTGCTAAGCTCCGGGAGCATCTACTGCTATGTGTGCCCACTTCCTTCCCCCTAGAGAACCATACTTGCCATCTGGGAGACTTAAGGCGTGTGAATTCGGGGAGGAACCAGGAGGAGATGGAAGAGGGGAAAGGCTACCCTTGCTTAATCCTTGCCATCTACTTACACCACAAAGCCAGGAAATAACCGACATGGAATTATAATACAAACAGCCAGGACAAAGTAGTGTATTACAAAGTGGAAACTGGGCAAAATTGCCAGGAACGGTCTAGCCAGCACTTGAGGGTGGCAACTGCAGGCTGGGGAGGGATTGGAGGCGGTTCAGATGGTAACCCCAGAGGCAGAACAGGCAAGGTCTTGCTGAAGAGGGCTGGCAGAGGGCCCTGTAAGCACAGGTCCCCCTCGGTGACGGTTCTACTGACCCCTCACTCACCTGTCACAGAAGGTCACCGTAGGTCTGCGTCTCACCCCTGGATAGTCACTGTGGAGAGGAAACAAGCCTGCAACAAGGTAGTCCCCGGGGAGGCTGAAGTCGGGAGACGACATGGTGCTTTGGCAGCTGAAGGCCCAGCAGCAGGACAGGGAAAGCTGCAGGCTGACCAGGTATGTCTCCCAGAGTAACATGCTGGCCAGACGGCCCTGCACTTGGCATGGCCGAGCTGCCCCCTCTGAGAGGGTCGGGCTGTTTAAATAGAATGGCCGGCAGCTGCCCAGATGCTTCCCAGCTTCATGCCTTGGAAAGGGGAGGGACTGGAACCCAGTTGTTGGAGTTGTAGGGCTGTTTGCCTTGGCCTTCCGGGCCTGCGGTCCTACTCAGGAACTGAGCAGGGTGAAAACACAGGTGCCAACCAGGCGGCACCCCTGACCCTTCCTCTGGACGGTTGTGGGTTCTGTCCTTGCTCCGGTGCCTGTGGCTTCACCTGGCTCAGAAAGGGAGCCATGGTATTTTGGGGAGGCGGAGGGAGGCGGGGACTCAGCTTCTCTGGGGTCTCTGAGGAACAGAATGTGGAAGGCTGCTATCAAGGAGCTGCGGGTTTTAGAACTTTTGACCTGGGCCTCAGTTTACCGAATGAGACAGACTTTGAGTTAAACTCGTACACAGCCCGCCACCCCAACCCCAAGTCCTCAAATAGAAATCATCCTGAGTGAATCACCCTGGCTTGGCCTTGTGACACAGGGTCGCTCCCTTCAGCTCAGAGACAAATGCATGCAAACGGAGGGTATGCAAATAGGCCGATTTTGTTTAAAACGTCAGTCCTGGAGCTTTTTCTGCAGGAAAAAATAAATCCTAGGTGGATTTCCGGAGAGATGGCCCTGGATTCGCGGTATCTGACTTCCCATCTCGAGGCGGCCGGGGTGGAGCTTTTGCATAATGTAAATCGAGCCCCCTAATCTCCCCCTGCTGACGGCCTGCGCCTCGGACAGGCAGGCAGAGGCCCGAGTGCGCTGCCGAGGCCGCCGGCAGAGGGCG